TATCCCTCATTACCACTTTGAAAGTTCACCATTTTTGTCCAATGTACACATTATTTACCTGTAAGCACAGAACATGTTATTGTACTTTGCATTTAGAAAATCTGTCATTAGCTAGGCTAGAAACAAGGCAATAAACTGCCCGGTGGAGCATGACTCAGACTCAACATGCATTTTGGGGGGCTTTTGACACACTCATCACCAAATTTAGCTCTATCTACATTCCTAGACCTATTATCTTGACATTTAAGAGTCATCTTGTAAAACTCCTTGGAGAAATACAGTCTTTTAGAAATAGGTACTGAAGAGATAGTCAAGTCCAAATCCTATCTTCAGCTGAATTTCACAACCTGAAAGCACTTTACAAACTCTAACAACATACCACTGTGACCCAAATAAGTGTCAGAGTTGCTGGTGTGAAGAGTTAGTTACCCAAGGACTCCAGACACGGGGCCCAGACTGCCTTCATCCTGTTACTTTGTCTGTGGGACAGTTAATGTATTCCTGTGCTGTCTTGTCACATGGCTTGGGGGAGTAAGTTAGTATAGATGTGCCTTGAGTGGAAGTATTTGTCTTACAGGGTAGACCTTATTTGAAGTATTTAGAGGCATTTGTTATTTAGCAGAGCTCTGCAGTGAAACTTTTACATGGTAAAGAAACACTCTCTAAATTGTCTGCCAACTTAATTTATTTTCTACTATCGCAATATAAAACTAGAGTTTGGTTTTCTGATTACCAACAGACTGGGTTATCTCACTCAAATCAGTAAGCTGAAGCTGAACAGACCGACTGTTCCTGTTCTCCTCTGCCACTTATGATCTCAGGTAAGTCTCTTACCTCTAACATTTTTTATCTTTGTTTTAAATAAAAAGTGGGTTTAGCACCATCTGCTTGTGTACACCCTTAGCAATGCTGGGAAGATCAAGTGGAAAAATGTACGTGAAAATAGTCTGTAATAATAACAATTACAACAACAAGAATAATATCTAACACTCATTCAGCATTTATTATGTTTCAGGCACAGCTTTTTATAAATTAATTCATTTAATTCTTCTAAAAATTCTAAGATACAGATATTGTTATTATCCCCATTTTACAGACAGAAAAATCAAGGCACAGAGGCTAAGTAACTCACACAAGTCACAAAGCTAGTCAGTAAAGAAGCTGGAATAAATGACCATGTGCTACCTATACCCTGAGCATAGTGATAATATAACATTTGGCTTACAGAGACCACAAAAGAGTTTCTAAGTATCACAGGAAAATTAAATAATCATCATTTTATAGATGAGGCAATTGAGGTTCGGCAAGTTTTCACAGTTTGCCCAATTATATTTTCAGAATACCTATAATTTAGAATATATTTAAGTTATGTCTGAAGTACTGTGTTTTTAAATTGAGTAAAGTAGAGCAAATCTGTTGAAAACAGATTCAATGATCAATTTTAAATTTAATGGCCTAACCAGTTACTATACTGTGAACTTATAGATTAAATATGCCTGGACATTTATAAGAATAAGGGTTTAAGAAATATTAGCAACTATCCCTATAAATGTCCCAATGCCTGCATCAGAGTCCCATAGCACAGCAAGAGTTCTAGACAAAATAGTATAGCTTTTTTTTTTAAAATGTGTATGAGCAATTATAGTCACTGGATTTGGAGGGTAATAAAAAAGTTGAGTCTCAAATGGGAACTTTTTGTTTTCCTTTTCCCTAATTGACCTATTAATTAAAAAAAAAACTTATACATTCACATCCTAATCAAGATCAAATTTTCAGAAATAGGTTTTTATTCATTTCTTTTTCTGTACACACAAGTGATACTTACTAATATCAGAAATCCAGTTAGAAATAGAAAGGAGAAGGCAAGGTTAACCCACCTACTAATGAAACAACACCTTTAAAAAGGAAGAAGGCATAATCCCTGTGGGCCAGCTGTGTGCCAGGCACTCACAGGCCAGCAAGTACAGACAACATGGCTTGATTCTGAGTCAAACAGAACTGGGTCAAATCTGGCTCTTCTATTAGCTGGGTGGCCTCAGGCAAATTACTTCATTTCTCTGACTCTATCAAGAGCCTCTGAACACACAGAGGACCCAGCTGACCCTCTGGGGTGAAATCACTGGAATCCAGGCCAACTGCTATCCCCACGGGGTTTGATGGGATTTATCACCTTGTTTCAAGGTCTATTTCACAAGACCCTAGACTTTTTGAAGTCTTTCAAGACCATACTGGCCAATCTACATGGCTACAAGAGATATATCATAGGAATTTAGTGGATAAATAGGGCTCCATTCGGCACTGAACCAAATGAACATCAAGAGTCTAGCTGAGCCAATATTTCCTAATAAAAGGTATATATGATATCCTATCAGAACAGTACAGGTTCTCTCTATCTCACTGAACACCCACAACCTTCTCAAAGCAAGCCCCACTAACCTCCACTACCTGTTCTCTCCAGATACACACCAGAGTTGAACACTAGGGAGGGAGAGATGCATTCTTATCTGTGGACAGACAGGCTGTGATTTAAAGGTATTATAAGGTAGGTACACCTGGCTGACTGGAGTCTGAGTGGGCAGTTGAGGCTGGATTTCACATGAACTCATAACCCATAGGGCTCCCTATGAAGCTTAAACCATGAAAAGTGGAGCACATGCATGCTCCAACCATTTCCCACAGTGGCCTGGCTTTCACCCAATTCACTGTGCCTGTTGTCCAACCTGTAATTCAGCTGATAGGGCTTTTGGGCTTGAGGCTGCTAAAGACAGGTTACCACTAAGCATTAGACCTCTGGGAAAAACAATCTCCTCTACTGAGATGTTGAGCATAACACCACCACCACAGTATCTGTAGAATGAACGTCCCAAGACTCCAGATTTCTAATTTATACAGACTTCTGTGACTATAGCCTCCACAGCAACTTCAGTCTACAAACACGGCTACCAAAGTGCTTTCAAGCTTGAGAGTTAAACTGCTCCTGAAAGTATGCTGTAAAATAGCAAAGCTGAAAATGGTGATAACCTGGGGACAAAATATATTGTCATATTGGAATCATTATTAGGAATTAATAATCCCTTGTATATCATATCGTTCTTGCCTAGCATTTATACGGGCTCAAAAACTGGTAGCTAGTGTAATAGTAATCCTTGCAGATTTCTTAGGAACAGGCATGATCATCTTCAGCTAACACTGTTGGTTGCTTATCTGCCATTTATTGAGACAAAGCATTCTCCCTGTTTACAAGTAAGGAAACTAAAACAAGGAGGTTAGAGAACTTACCTAAGATCACCTGCTACATATGGAGTAAAATAAGGATCCAGATGGAGGCAGTTCAACTCTGGAATTTGGGCAATTAATCACTACACCCTTCCATCTCCTCTGTTTATATGAGGAGACATAATCCACAGACATAGAACTTGTCTGCTGTCATACTGTTACTTGGATTATACATAAAAGTCCAAATTACAGCTACATCCCCTTTTAAACAGCAAGCTATTTCTAAATCTGAATCCTGAAGATTTTCATGCAGCCAGAAGAGTTTTCAGACATTATGACACACAGTAACAAAGTACACAGACACAGCATTTTTGTAGATGAAAAGCCCCATCCAACAGTAGCTGATAACATCTCCTGGTCTCTGATAACCTCCTTGCTACTAGAGCAGATGAAAATGACTCCAAATGCATGAATCTGCTCATCTGTTTACTTGCAAAAAGAATAAGGCTCATGATTAAAAAGACATGACAGTCCCCACACCACAAATGCCCTTTCAAAAATTTTCCACATTTGTTCTGGCTTCAAGCCATTATAAAGTGTTTCCAATTAGACGTATCAGCTAAAATGAACCCATTTTCTGAAACAGAAGTGGGTAGTTTGGGTCTAGTACTTATAAAGCGTGGTTCCTGGTGTCACAGACCATGAAACAGACATGAAATAAGACTGTTTGAAGTTATTCCCACAGAGAATCCCAGATCTTTAAACTTCTGAGCAAGAAGATCCCTGACCCTTGACCAACTCCTTTCCACTTAATAGTGATGCAACTGAGCTGAAGAGACTGGTCCAAAGTCACTGAGCAGGTTAGTTAGTGGCAGGACTAAAATCTATAATGAGGAGTTGGTCATGCCCAGATTGCAAACAGCCTAGTCCAAGGAGTCACACTTAACTTCTGGTACAAACCTGTGGAGTCAAATTCTGATTCTGAATATTGTAAAAACAAACAAAAAAACTCTCATTTTCCAGATCTCTCAATGAAAACTTTAGGGCCAAATAAAGAAATCATAAAGCTATCATAGACCCTTACATAAAAATGGCTTAAAAAATATATACACAACCTCGTTTTGATAGAAGAGAGAGAGCCAGAGAGAAAGAAATACAGAAAGAGAAGGAGAAACAATACTTTGCCCCTGACATATACACACAAAAGTACTTGGCTTCTTGAAAGGGGGGAAAAAAATCTCAAACTCCTTTGTCTTCAGGGCAGAGAGAAAGGTGACAAAATTTGGAACACAGTGAGAGACTGAAGACAAGAATGTTTAAACTCCAGCTAGCCTGGAACTATTCCCGTTTCCTCTATGAACCAGCCTAGGGGCTTCCCCTCGGTTGGCCCCTGCACGGAAGGACGTGCGTGACACCCGGCTGCGTCATTGGCAGAAATGCCCGCGCCCAGAAAACGAGCTGGAGTGGAGAACAAAATGCAATTGCAGACAATCTCCCTCTGGTTCCCCTGAGGAGGCCTGCTCTGGGCGGAGAGATCCCAGGGGAATGTGCGGGAAGGAGCTAAAGCAATAGCCCCAAAGCGCCAGCGAATGCACTTGAAGTTTCAGCTGGGGCGAGAAACGTTTTTCTTTTCTTTGAAACTAAGTTTCCAACCCACCAGGAAAAATTTCCTCGCGACCTGGTGACTTTGATCTCACGCTTGGCCACAAGCCGCTGCCTCGAGACTGGAAACTGGCTGCGAGGCGCTCTCACCGGGTACCCTGACCCCCTCCCGGAGCGCTCACCTGCGATATCCCACAGCTGCAGGCGGACCACGGTCTCCGGGTCCCAGTGGAGCACCTTCAGCGCGAAGTCCACGCCGATGGTGGCCCGGTAGTGCGAGGAGAAGTTCTGGTGCACGTAGCGCTTGATGATGCTGGTCTTCCCCACGCCCAGGTCGCCAATCACCAGCAACTTGTACAGGTGCTCCTTGTGCGGGGCCTGCATGCTGGCGGGCGGCCCGCCGTGCCGAGCCTGCCCAGGGAAGCGCAGCCCGGGTGCGGCGCACGAGAGAGACTCGGGGAGCGCTAGCGTGGGTGCAAAGGAGAGGCGGCGGCGGCTGGGCGGGGGCCGGGGGCGGAACTCCTCCCCTAGGGGTTAATCCTCCTTCCTACTCCGCGCTCTTGGAGAGGGGAGGAGACAGGAGCAAGTCCCGGGACTGGCAGCTCAAAGGGGCTCGCGTGTAGTTGCCTGTTGCAGCACTTACTTGTCCAGCGCTTTAGTTTCCGAAGAGCTGTTTTCGCCTGTGATCCTGGTCACAAGCTTGTGAGGTGTGGATCTTATTTTCCACGTTTTGCCTGCAGAGAAAGCTGACCGTGAAGTACTCTGCAGGAGATGGCCGGTGAAGGGCCCCGCTGAACCCAAGTATGAAGTCACAGGGCTCCCAACCACCCCACACTGTAGAGAGAAAATGCAGGATCAGGAAGCCTAAGACTGGCTGGGTGCCCTGGTTCCTGCGTGCCCTGGTTTTTTAGTCGAGGGACCATAAGTAAGTCATTTGAGCTCCCCCAGCCTGTTCTTTCTCAATGAATGGCAATGCTGACCTCTCAGCAGCTTGGAGGTTTGATCACTGAGCACCTTCACATGCTTTCAACTGGTAATCAGTTAACAAGGAGGACGATTGGGCTGAAAAGGCCAAAGGCACTTGTGACTTTCAGCCTCTTCTCATACCCTAAAAAGTCAGCTGCACAGAGACAATTTTAACAATCCATCAGATTATTACAAATAATAATGGCAAACATTTATTGAGCACTTGCTATATGCCAGAGGGTTTAAAAATGATGTCTTTTAATCATCCCAGCTGTCTTAATGATAGATACCATATTTCCTCCTGTTTTACAAATGAGGACGCTAAGGGCTAGACATTTTAAATAATGTACCCACAGTCAAATGGTTAAGAAAAAAGCCAAATTCAAACTTGGTCTCTAGGTTGCCAGAGTTTTTTTTTGTTTTTTGTTTTTGGTTTTTTTTTTTCATTCATTTGATCAATACACATTGAGTACCTACCATGCACCATGCACAGTTCTGTGTCCTTGGGATGATACAGAAATTGGAATGCAGACGATGACTACGGGCCTCAAAACAATTTGCTTTCTCATGGGTGGAGACAGACAAGACAAACAAATGAAGTACAATTTGCAATATATTAGTTGGTAACAAAATAAGGCAGGAAAGGGGATGTGACGAGATTGTATGGGGTTTGGCCTTTAGATAGGGTGCCAGGGAAGGTCTCAGTAAGGAGACAATTTAGTAAAGACATAAAGAAAATGAGAAATTGGACATTCAGGCGTAGGGGGTGAACAGTTTATACCAAAAGGAGCTATTTTATACCTGAATGTGCTGTGAATGGAGCTTGGTCCACATTCTATCATTTCATCTTCTCAATTGCTTTATGAAGTGGGTTATTTTTCTTCAATTTATAAATAAGGAAGCCAGGATTAAGAGCAGCTTTCTCAAGGGCACACATAACTAGTAAGTGTTATTAGTGAGACTCAAACACAGGCCTGTGTGAAAGGAAGAAGGGAGGTTTGACAAGGCCATTGTCTTTCTGCTTCCCTCTTCTTGCCTGACACACCCTAAACTTTAGCCTCCACGTGCCCGGAACAAGCAGAGGGATGCCCTAGGTGTGTGACTGGGATAAGTCACATAACCTCTCTGAGCCTTGATTTCTACATCAACAAAAGAGAGTGATAATACCTGCTTTATAAAGTTGTTGATAGGTCGGGAGCGGGGGTTCACGCCTGTAATCTCAGCACTTTGGGAGGCTGAGGCTGACGGATCACTTGAAGTCAGGAGTTCGATACCAGCCAGGCCAACATGATGAAACCCCGTCTCTACTAAGAATACAAAAATAGCTAGGCGTGGCAGTGGGCCCCTATAATCCCAGCTACTTGGGATTCTGAGGCAGGAGAATCACTTGAACCCAGGAGGCAGAGGTTGCAGTGAGCCGAAATCACACCATTGTACTCCAGCCTGGTCAACAGCAAGAATCTATCTCAAAAAAATTAAAAAAATAAAAAATAAAAATAAATAAAAATAAAGTTCATTGATAAAACGTCAGGTCCATAGTAGGTGGTAAATAAATAGTAGCTATTAATATGAAATGATGGGTAAGCTTTAAATTCTCTCCACAAGCGCTGTGCTGTGCAGCTTCATCTTTCCTCAGAGAGTAACTCAGAAGCTTTGCTCAGAATGAACACTAAGTGATGGTGTGTAGAACTGTACACGTTTGTGTTTTATTGAAATGCTTAGCTGGGTAGGCCTCATTTACTGGTTTCCACCCACACAGGGACACACCAAGCAGGTTATATCTAACAAGTGAGACAGATATTCTACCTGCGTAAAGCATCAGCCAACACTGTCACCTCACTTCCCTGGGAGGAATTTGGGAGCCCAAGATGCTTAAGCCATTTTAAATGCCTGCAGAATTAGGGAGGATGACAAAATGAGGCCTTTGCCAGCTCTAAAGTCCTAGGTCTGTACATCTGAGAGACAGGTTTTGTCTGGACAATGAGCTGCTGGGCTAGAAACAAGGCAGGAGTTTGAGACATCTTGTGGGCCAGCCCTCGGTGTTAAAGGCAGCCCAACTTTCTCAATGGCCCAGACTGTTTTCCCAGGCCTGGTCCAGGCAGAGTCATCCTCACCCTTATCTGGTGTCCTCTTTTGATCAACAGTGTATTGCCACATCAGACATTTAGACTTATGACAAAGGACAGTCAGAACAAAGTTCAGGAATTTTGGGTCCTGAAGCTGATAAAATTGGAGGAAGGAGATCTTTAAGCAAAAGAATACAAATACAAAACCAAAAAGTATATTATTAGATCTAGGGCCTTAAAAGGGGTCCTGAAGCTTCAGTTTTATTGCCTCCCTAGGGGTGGGAGATCCCTCTCAGGGACAGCAGCCAACCCTGGTGAGCAAGCTCCCTGGCCAGGCAGGAAGTATGTGCAGTATTTCCAGCAGTACTCATTTAGGTCTCATGATCATTCTTCACGGTGGGAAGAAATTATTCTCGGTTTATATTTTTAAGACTTTTAGACTAAAGTAGCTTGGTAAGCACCCCAGTCTAGCAGTTCAGTAAAATATTTGTAAAAGAAGCCTAGGTCTCTGAACCTTAAAGTCCCCTGGGTAAAATGAGGGAGTTGGGTTGCAAGATCTCTGGAAAGTCCTTTGGACTCTCAAATTTCAGAATTCTGAGTCCTGTAGACACCATCTGGTAGGAGTGACACCCTAGCTGATTCTAGTCATCCCACAATAGCACCATTGCCCAAGAGGTGACATTTTCTCTCCTCTTTTTAGGTTTAGAAGAAAGGCCGTCTCAAAGCAAACATGATGCCATAATTCTTCTCTGGTTTCATGGCACTATTCTTTCCTCTGCTGCTGCACATTTTCCCACCAGACAAAGGCAATCCAAGCTCTTTTTTTTTTTTGGAGGGTAAACCTTCCTGTGCTCCCCTGCCTGCTTTGAACTTAGTTTCTACTCTCAGAACCAGGCTGCAGACAGGGAGCCAGGGAGAAACTATAAACTGGATCAGGCCAGACATTGAATAGATGGAAAGGATATTATCAAGCAGGTAGACCATTCTTGTCTCCTCTTTCATTCAACCCCATCTCCTGCAATTATGATGCTTCTTAAGAACCAGTCTTCCCCAACCTGAACATATACCTGCTCAGATGCCTTAGGATCAGGAAGATCTTAGCTTTTTCCTGACACAGCTTCCAAAAGAGCCAGTGCATCCTCCCTCTGGAGAGAACAGCTGTGTCATTCTTTCCCATCCCAGCAACCACACGGCACCACGGAAACCTGTTCTCCACAGTAACTCTAAAGCATCTCTGATGATCTTTTAAAAAGCTTACTACCCTCAAATTGCTAAACCACAGCATCTCACCAGCGTCAGGGAGGGAGATGACTCAAGTTTGTAAAGGGTGTGTGAGACCACAGTGTTCAGAATTCAAGCCTAGAACAATATTCCAGAAGGCACCGCATTAGGTTTCTCTGAGTCTCCATTCCCTTTCTGTCCAATGTGAATATCTATTCTAATATTTACGAAATGGAAAAACTAATTACAATGATTGCAAATTGCTTTGCAAATTTAAACTTGAAGGGACAAATCCTCATGTTTCTCTCCTAGGGCTGCTGTATTTGGTAAGTCCCTGTGAAGTTATATTATTTGCTTTTGCCATTAAGAGAGCCATGGGGAGTTATTCATTAGCTTATGTATGCTTTTAATTATTACTCTGAAGAAATATTTAAATGACTGCAAGATGAGGTCCCAAGGGCTTCTGCTATAGAAAAGGTATTCTAATATTTCTTAGATTAATACAAGAAATATATCTTAAAACAGATGAACTTTATTCTGCAAAAGGCCTGGAAGAAATGACCATACATTTTATCATCCAAATTATGATTCTTGAGAATGAAAGGGTAATTACAAGTAATTACACCAAACAAAGGCAACAAGACAGGGCTTTCCTAAATAATATTCATTCCCAAAGAAGAGAGAGAAGTTGGAGCTCTCAAATCAGATCTACAGCTACAGGGGCTTTGGAAAATTCTCCTAAACCACAATTTCAATAAATACGTCTGCCAAGTTAAAGTTGCAGCTTATTTGTCTCTTGTCTTCGAAAAGTTCTCTCTTTACCCAGTAGGCTTGTCTGAAACCTGTGCTAACTTGCAACGGAGTCATCTAGTATTGATTCAGGATTGCAGCAACTTTTGGGTTATTTAGAGAGAAGCCAAGAGGGATTCTGTATGGGATGTGCTTGAAATAAATACTCCAGTCTATGAGAAATTTGTTGCTAGATTTTTTTTTCCAGAAAGAAAGACTACAATAGGATATTTACGCATTATCATGAGAAACTGATTGTAAGTATATTTTTAACCCACCTGTAGTATGAATCAAGAAAACTAGATTATGCCCTAAACCATTTCAGCAGTATATTTATCACCAACTAAAATTACGTGCCTTAGCTGCACCAAACAGGCATGGCTGAATTAAGGCTTGTTTTTCTACTAACCCACCTAACATGGATGAGTGGAAATGAGCTAAGGAATGGCCAAAAGACAAGCATCTGAGAACATGGAGGAAAATGATTCTTTATGTACTAGAATTTCAACTTCCTTATACTGGGAGCCTACAACAAGGTAAGCCCTTTATCTTGGTAAGTTTATTTGATCTTTACAAGCACTCTGTGGCAAGTTCTTCACTTTATAATGAGGAAAATAGGGCTCAAAAATTTAAATATTTTTTCCAAAGTCACAGATATGAAGTGACAGAATGAGAATCATAACCCCTAATTCCTAAATCTGTGCTTTTTTGACTATATTACATTCCCTTAGCATGTCATAAATTCCAGGTCCAGACTTCTATGGTAGCTTTGTTTCTGCTATGCTAATAAATATTCAGGCCATAAAGAAAAGAGAGAGATTCGATTTCTATTTCATAAAGTTCTAACTATGTACAGAAACAGCCAATATAAGAAGAAAAGAAAAAATCTATGATTCAATGATAAAAGGATATATCCCATAATCTCTCATCAACTCAGGCAAAAAGTCAACACAGGTAAAAGTGGCATGCTGTGCATTTGTGGGAGGGGTCTGACCCAGTGCACATAGAGAGCATATACCAAGGAGTCTGCTCCTGTTGCTCTTGGAGAAGGCGCTAGGATAGTACTGAGGCTGTCTAGTAAATGAACTCCTAGTCCATAACAGGTGAGGACACAGGGACTTGTAAGCTCTAGCTGAGAAGGTTAACACAAGAAAATTACTGACAGACCACCACAGCATCAGCGAAGAAATATGTGTGTACAAAGGACTGTAACAGACATTTTTGAAGATCAGGGTCAGAAGAAGGGTCTCACGTTTATCTCAAAGAGTATATAAGATATAAGCCCTTACCATCAAAATGCTTCCATTCTGGTTAAAGCATCAGCATGTATACACATGGCCCTCTGCCTTCCACTCTGACCCTCTTCTCAGACGCCTTCTCTGGAAACTTCCCTTCTTTTCTGTCCATCCACTGAAGTTTGCTATTCCTCATCTTTGGGATTATGACTTTCCCTGCTTGAGCTCATCCACTCCTGTGACAAGAGGGAAAATGGGGTTAGGGAATTTGGCAATCTGGAATCAGGCAAACTTACCTGATGTCATATTCAGGTTCTACCACTACCCAGTCACAAGAACTTCATAAAGTAGTTTAACTTCTGAAAGCCTAACCCTTCATGTGTAAAATGAGGATAATAATTTTAACCTCACAACTTTTTGAGAAGACTAAATAAAATTCTATGAAGTGCTTAGCATAGTGCTTAGCCTAGGATATGCACTGAAAAGAACATGTTGTTGAACTACCAAATGTCTGCTGATGATTTCTATATCTGTATTTAAAACACAACCTTACTCCTGCATTGCATACCCTTGTCCCAACTGCCTGTTGGGCATTTCTACCAGGCTTTCTGGCAGACGGTTTCAATGCAACATGTGCAAAACTGAACTCATTATCTACTCTAACAGACATGTTCCCTTTCCTGTATTCCTGGTTTTTGGTCATGGTTCCACCCTCGCTGAAGTCTACCAAGCCCCAAAACTCAGTCACTCTTGATTCCTCTCTCTTTGTGACCCTTACAACCTATCAGCCTGAGTCCTCTGATTCTATTTCAGACAAATTGATGGCATTTCCAATGCTCCACAAAATTACTATTATAACAAAAAGGTGAATGTCTATGAATTATTATTGTAGAGAAAGGATCTTTAAATATTATGTGAAAAGCAGAAATAATAATAG